CACGAAATCTATATGTGTTACCGTGCTAATGGGATTTGCGATACGTCCGTGCCAGAAATAAGAAAATGCCTCGCTTGCCACGAAATCTGTACTTGACCTTACGAAAATGCTATGCTTGCCACGAAATCTGTACCCGACCTTGCTAAAATGCTATGCTTACTACGAAATTCAAATCCTGCGAAATTTCCGTGTTAGCCGTCCGAATCCGCTCCGAGACCGTCGTCGGATAGGCATCGCGAATGGGGTGGTTTGTAGCCAGCCGGAGAAACCAAAGCCGGCAGAGTCTTTTTCACGATTTTTATTGCTCCGCCGCACGCATACGCATAATTATTTATAGAAGTACATTTATAATTATAATATATTAAAATAATATTATTTATTTAAAATAATATATATATTAAAATAACTATTAATATATTAAAACAATAAATTAAATTGATATTTCTATTAATTTATAATATATTCTTTTAATCTTTATATTATTGTATAATTTTCGTAAATTTTCGAGGATCCTAAATGGAACCTTAATAAAATCTTACTTTAAGGCCGCCCCGGACTACCTATATAAATATTTTACAAATATATATATATATATATATATTTATTTATATATTTGCTTAAATATAATTTTAAAATATAATAGCATATAATATATTTTTTAGTACTCGTACCACCCCATAGATTTCCTGGATCTTATGGAACCCTCGCGGAATTTTGATGGAACCTTCGTGAAATCTTGATGGCATCCTAATGGAATTTCGGGGAATTTTTCCTCAAAGACGTCCCGGAGCATATCTAGGTTAAAATCCTAAAATGTTAAATTATTAAAGAATTAGGAAATAAATATATATATACCTGGACCTTCCGACATGTAAAATTAACGCCGTTTCCCAAAACAGCAATAATTGTCGCCGGTTGCTGGAAAAAAACGCTCTTTCGGAGAAAAAGCGCTCGCCGTGAGTCCAGCCCGGAACCAGGCAAAAAAAACGCCGTTTCGCCGGCAAATTACGCCGTTTTGACGGCAAATTACGCCGTTTTGCAATTTTGATTGATGCTAGAGTGTGCAAACACTGAAAACTGCCGGCAGGCGAAAATAATCGACGTTGGGTCAAAAGACATAGTGTTTGACAAAACAACAATAGTTTTGCACATGTTGGAAGACCCAGGTATATTTTTACATAGATTATTATTATTTAATATAAGAATTATAATCTAATATAATAATTATGGGGGTTAATCAAAAGATCCTTGCAAGGTGTTTCGCGTTGGATTCTTGGAGGCATACCTGAACACTTACATATTTGTAGATTAGATAGGGAGATACGCAGAACCTACACTTGCATTATTGATTCCCTGCCTGTATTAGGAATGGTGCAAGTCAATAACGTTAGTTGGGCTATTTTGGAGCAAGTTTCGCGAAAGACCGGCGAAAGACCGGCGAAAGACCGGCGAAAGGCTAGGGAGCTTGTTGCAAGGTTCCGCGCATCGCCGGCAAGCACAAATGGCAAGGGCGAATGACGGTGACTGTTTGCATTTAATATTACGCACTACATGCAAGTGAATTGCGGCTACCGTGTTTGCAAGCATAAATTCAGCAGTCACAATGGCTCCAGAGCGCACGCTGCAAACAAAAGGGCGTGGCGGTGGAGTCGCGAAAGATTCGTAAAAGAATTTTGTTTCTCGCGAAAATAACATTTTCCGGAAACAGGAATATTGATAATTGCCATATAATCTTAGACAATTATGAGTATAATTTTCAATATCTTTTGTGGTTTGTCTGTGTTTTGCAATTAAAGCCTATTTTTCTAGTTCTACAATGAGCTAGGGTATAATATTTAATGAATTATTTATAGTATGACATGGACCCAATTTAATTTGATGCATAGCGGTACGATTTTTCCCTTAGTTTAGTGTGTTTGGTTTGGATCTTGTTTTCGGATAATATAATCTCCGTGCCTAAAGTGGCGCTGGGTTGTGGATGGACGAGATAATGTATCTCGATTTGAAGATAATTGCCTATTGTAATTAATTATACGCGTATGCTTAATCCAGCTCCGGGTGTTTATTTTAAGCAAGGCTGGAAGCGGTCTCGAAGATTGCATTCTGCACTTAATCTTAAAAATATATATATATAAAAATATAATATTCTATAAAAATAAATCCATCCTAATAATATATTATATTAAAACAACATAAAATCATGATTGGTATAATATCTATTTTCTGGTATAAAATCATGTGTTTTGCCGTGAATTTTAATGCCGGCGAATCTATACATTACAGCCTTTTGGTAATCCTTCCATTTATTTTCTTGGATTAAAAATTATTGTTTTACAATCTTTGGATTTAAATATATATAATATCCGAAATATTAATAAATATCAATTATATCTCAAAATTATAAAAATAAAATATAAACTAAGCCATATCCCAAGAATAAAAAATATAATAATTAATTCATATCTTAAATATATTTATTTAGAAAACACTAATTATAAATCTCTAACCTAAACAAATATTAATAAAATAAATATTAAAGAAACATAATAATTATTTCTTCATGCAAAATCTTTTTATTTTATTTATTTCAGATTTCAATTAATTCATTAAAGCAAAATTATATCTAATAAGAATAAATTATAATTTACAATAATTAAAATAAATATTAATATATAATAATTTACAATATAAGAATAATTAATCCAACAATCATATCCGAAATTCTAAATCATTTCTTCTAATTTATACCTATCAATTCATACATATCCAACAAATCATTTCAAATTAAACATAAAAAAATATTAATTAATATAATTATTTAACATATCATTATTATTATTTCATTCATCCACATTAAATTAATTAATTTAAATAATCATTAATATAATTTCCATCAAATTATTGTTCCAATCTAAATCCAACCCATATATATATATATACAATTATTTCATCATCAATTCATGAATTCGATATCATTCATTCCCAAAAAAAACAAACAAACGCAAATTCAACATCTCAACCAACCACACACCGATTAGTCAAGGCGGGCAGCGCCAAGCATTATATTATAAATACAAAATGTTTTGTAATTAAAAACAAACACTATTCTGGAAAAGGCAAAATAAATCAATATAAACAATATAATTCATGGGTAGAAAGCCACAAGTGTTCCCATGGGGCTAGGCCAAATCAAACTATCCCTTTATGATCCTTTATGAATATCTCCCCCCAAACATTCGTAAGAGGGTCCCTGTTCGATGCGGAGTTCTCTCTTTCAGAGGGCTTCTCAAGCCGCCCCGGGATTCTCAATCGCCGAGTTGCAAGATTTCTGGACACCATGGACACTTGGGGAGTATTTGTTCTTGAGCCTTAAGACTTAAGGGTTCCCGTGTTATGGGCTGCTTCTATTTCAAAGGACACCCAAGCTTGTTGCAACCACCTCACAAAGCGAGTGCAGTGAAGCCAGGAATTCGATATCATTCATTCCCAAAAAAAACAAACAAACGCAAATTCAACATCTCAACCAACCACACACCGATTAGTCAAGGCGGGCAGCGCCAAGCATTATATTATAAATACAAAATGTTTTGTAATTAAAAACAAACACTATTCTGGAAAAGGCAAAATAAATCAATATAAACAATATAATTCATGGGTAGAAAGCCACAAGTGTTCCCATGGGGCTAGGCCAAATCAAACTATCCCTTTATGATCCTTTATGAATATCTCCCCCCAAACATTCGTAAGAGGGTCCCTGTTCGATGCGGAGTTCTCTCTTTCAGAGGGCTTCTCAAGCCGCCCCGGGATTCTCAATCGCCGAGTTGCAAGATTTCTGGACACCATGGACACTTGGGGAGTATTTGTTCTTGAGCCTTAAGACTTAAGGGTTCCCGTGTTATGGGCTGCTTCTATTTCAAAGGACACCCAAGCTTGTTGCAACCACCTCACAAAGCGAGTGCAGTGAAGCCAGGCCTTTGCGAACGGTCTGCTCTTTCACCGGCTTTTCTGAAAATCCATGCCATCCTTTTTGGATAGACTTGGTGAAACTTGTCAATGTGCAGTTCCGTGTGATGCCGTTTGGCTTCCCGGAACTGCGTTGATGGACACATCAATTCATCGCAAGGCCGGCAAAAGCAAACCTGGGAACGGCATGCGCTCGTTTCTTGTTCATAGGAAGCAAGTGTTTTGAGGGGCCAATAAACAGGTTGGAGGTTGGAGAAACCGTCCAAAGAATGCCTGAAGCTTCTTGACCCTTCAATAAGCAGTGCTACAGTATCCATACTTCAAACCAGCTCAAGATTTCCATCCTGGCTATGCAATAATTAGCACCAACACTTTTGCCGTCCAACACATGTTACGGAATCTGAGCGAAAAGGACCCGCTTCTCCATCGTCAGCAACTGCAACTCAATACCCTCTTGAGCACGACACGGGGAGATGTCTTTGCAACCTCTGCTGACACCTGGGCAGTTGGGCAGGCGGAAATGATATCACACTTGATTCCAATGCGGGAGCTGCAAAAAACATCGAACAAGAAAGTTGGAAACTCAGCTGTGAACCGAAGATCAGTTCAAATCTCTGCTCCCGGTCCTGCCCACGTTCTATATTAGCAAACACCTGTTGTTTTTGCAGCTACCAAGCGAACACATGACTCAACAGCTGGGTCCAAGAGACAACGTCAAACCTAGGCTGGCACCCAGCCCTTCTTGTAGAGGTACTCTTCGCCTTTCGCCTGCACTTGTGGACTTGGGGGGCCAGAGGGCTTTGGGCCTTGAGGATTTGCAATAAGGCATATTGACTTCACTTCACATATTGGGCACGGAAATTGGACGGAACAGAACTCTCAATTGGGCACCGAAAAGAAGCGCGGATGTGGGAGAGTTACGTGCCGATTTACCTTCAGTGCCTTCGTACGATGGTACACATGTGGGCGACGGCATCGCAAGCACTCGCTGAGCGCGTGGGGCTGACGAAGCGCGCTGCATTTCACTTGTCAGTGGAATCCGATTCAAACAAAAAAGACCATGTGGCACGTTTGCAAAATGGAGGTGTCTTGTAGAGGCGCAAACAGGGCGAGGGATTAGTGCTCTGTTTACACCAGTGCGATTAATTTTCTCGCTTTGGTCGGCGTCCTTCTGCCTTCTTACATTCTCACACCTTTTGCAGGGGTTTTACCTCTAGCTCCAGTTCTTACCCTCTTATTTCAGGCATTCAATTCCCCCCGGGCCCCTTTGTGGGCCCTTGGAGCATCCAGCTGCTCCCTTCCCCACCGAAAGGCCCGCCAGTGCCATCCGCAAGCTTAGGCCATTCCATGCAACGCGCTCAGGACTCAAAGCGTCTTGTCCCACGACCTCCACGCACTCCAAGAGGATACCTGGACTTTGGGGGGCAAGTCGGCTCTTTGGTTCCTCAAAGCCCCTGGCTAGAAACAGGGGTGGTTGTTTCTTTGCCATCCAAACGTTGCACCAGTTCTTGTGGCTGCCAGCCCCCAGAGTTGTGTCGTGAAGTTTGTCGCTGGATTTTGAACTGGCAATTGTTCTAAAGCGCTGCATACATCTGATCAGTTGAGCTGAAAATGCAAGTCTTGCTCCAAACAAAAATACGAGGAGCCCTCAGAAGGCACACAGCTTGATTGATCAAGCCTGTACGATTTGCAATACTGGTTTTGCAGGTATGGGTCTCCAAAGGCGGAACCTCAGAAAGGGCCTCAGTTTCCCTCTTTTGCGCTTCAATCGGCCCAAACGTCTCACGTGCAAACCTCCCGGTGGCCTTGCGGCTCATACGATGCATATCTGCCTGGCACGTAAACTCGCTTGATCCCTTCCAATTCCTCTTTGGCCTCTCGACCCCAGTCAAGATGCTCTACACGCCACAGTACGCAACGCCCAAAGGCAACACTTAGGGAGGTATCTTTCACCACCAGCAATACATGAACTGCTCTCTGGGACTCATGCTTTGTCACCCTGAAACTCTGACGCTTGAAAGCTCACGGGGCATAACCTTCATAGTCTGCTCGGCCACGTTGGGCAGCGCACTCTTGTACAGTGCCATTCCCCCCCACAACCAACACCTCCTTGTTTTACCACAGCCATCATGTCTGGCACGTGGTAGCGTCTGCAAGGTTCTCTGGACTGCTCCAAGCATCTGAGCCGATCTTCCAAAAGCAAGTTGGTTGTGTCTTGGCATCTTAGTGCCATTGGCTCTCTACTCAAGCACGCTTGACTAAATCTGCATGGCAGCCGATCACTCGCCCAGGCACTTGCTTTGCTTGCTCTCCGGTACCTCACGCCTTTCCGATCTGACCCTCCTGCCCACCAACAAGCAAAGCATTGCACTGGCGCTATCAAACAGTCACCGCCCTGGGCCTGCTTGATTTTCTGGAGAGCTTCTTCAGAGATGCCTTTAGTCACCCACCTGACACAAACAAGCAGAGTTTCCCAGTAAGCCTGGTCGCAAAGGGGTTTCCTTTTGGGCTTGACCATTTGCAGGGAACTGCTTGTCTCATCCAAGGCCATTGCCTATGGCACTTTTCTGTGGTGGGCTCATCTTGTACCCTTTGCATAGGGTGGGGCTATGTAGCTCTGACAGCACGCTAAAAAAACCACATACGCATATGAACAACCTTAAAAAAATCAGGATAACTGCACTGCTGGCTTCACTTCATCCCACCAGCATCTTCGTTTCCAAAAAGCAATGGACCCCTCATGATGAGTGGTTTCCATATAATTCCCCTTTGCAAGCCATGGAAAAGGAGATCCCCAATGTGTGGCCACCTACGTTCTTTTAGCCAACGGCTCCCTTCGCCCTCTCTCCCCCTCTCGCTCTCTCTCTCTCTCTCTCTGCCTCTCTCCCTCTCTCCCTCTCTCTCCCTCTCTCTCCCTCTCTCTCCCTCTCTCTCTCTCTCTGTCTGTCTGTCTCTCTCTCCCTCCCTCCCTCTCCCTCCCTCCCTCCCTCTCTCTCTCTCTCTATCACGTAACGCACACAAAGCACACATCTGATCCCATTGGTTCGGTGGATGTGTCTCAAAAGTGGCCAACCCCACGATGGTTTCCCGAGCGCTTTCCCTGAAACAACCCCAAAAGGCCCCTGCAAAGCACCCTCCTCGCAAGGGTAGCAAGATTCAGCCGCTTTCTTGACCAAACAACTCGATTGTTTCATCCATCCATTGGCATCAGCAGCATTTCGAACCGGGCATGGGATTATAAATCCTCTGGACATCTGGGATCATGGGAAACTACTCCATGTCCCTGGGCTACATACCAAAGACATATCCTGACAAACCCTTGTTTACTGAAGTGCAAATTGGTACCCTCTCGCCCAGGTTGAGGGGTATACACGTACATACATACATACATACATACATACATTACATTACATTACATTACATTACATTACATTACATTACATTACATTACATTACATTACATTACATTACATTACATTACATTACATTACATTACATTACATTACATTACATTACATTACATTACATTACATTACATTACATTACATTACATTACATTACATTACATTACATTACATACATACATACATACATACATTACATACATACATACATACATACATACATACATACATACATACATACATACATACATACATACATACATACATACATACATACATACATACATACATACATACATACATACATACATACATACATACATACATACATACATACATACATACATACATACATACATACATACATACATACATACATACATACATACATACATACATACATACATACATACATACATACATACATACATACATACATACATACATACATACATACATACATACATACATACATACATACATACATACATACATACATACATACATACATACATACATACATACATACATACATACATACATACATACATACATACATACATACATACATACATACATACATACATACATACATACATACATACATACATACATACATACATACATACATACATACATACATACATACATACATACATACATACATACATACATACATACATACATACATACATACATACATACATACATACATACATACATACATACATACATACATACATACATACATACATACATACATACATACATACATACATACATACATACATACATACATACATACATACATACATACATACATACATACATACATACATACATACATACATACATACATACATACATACATACATACATACATACATACATACATACATACATACATACATACATACATACATACATACATACATACATACATACATACATACATACATACATACATACATACATACATACATACATACATACATACATACATACATACATACATACATACATACATACATACATACATACATACATACATACATACATACATACATACATACATACATACATACATACATACATACATACATACATACATACATACATACATACATACATACATACATACATACATACATACATACATACATACATACATACATACATACATACATACATACATACATACATACATACATACATACATACATACATACATACATACATACATACATACATACATACATACATACATACATACATACATACATACATACATACATACATACATACATACATACATACATACATACATACATACATACATACATACATACATACATACATACATACATACATACATACATACATACATACATACATTACATACATACATACATACATACATACATACATACATACATACATACATACATACATACATACATACATACATACATACATACATACATACATACATACATACATACATACATACATACATACATACATACATACATACATACATACATACATACATACATACATACATACATACATACATACATACATACATACATACATTACATACATACATACATACATATACATACATACACATTACATACATACATACATACATACATACATACATACATACATACATACATACATTACATACATACATACATACATACATACATACATACATACATACATACATACATACATATACATACATACATACATACATACATACATACATACATACATACATACATACATACATACATACATACATACATACATACATACATACATACATACATACATACATACATACATACATACATACATACATACATACATACATACATACATACATACATACATACATTACATTACATACATACATACATACATACATACATACATACATACATACATACATACATACATACATACATACATACATACATACATACATACATACATACATACATACATACATACATACATACATACATACATTACATACATTACATACATTACATTACATACATTACATACATACATACATACATACATACATACATACATACATACATACATACATACATACATACATACATACATACATACATACATACATACATACATACATACATACATACATACATACATACATACATACATACATACATACATACATACATACATACATACATACATACATACATACATACATACATACATACATACATACATACATACATACATACATACATACATACATACATACATACATACATACATACATACATACATACATACATACATACATACATACATACATACATACATACATACATACATACATACATACATACACATACATACATACATACATACATACATACATACATACATACATACATACATACATACATACATACATACATACATACATACATACATACATACATACATACATACATACATACATACATACATACATACATACATACATACATTACATTACATACATACATACATACATACATACATACATACATACATACATACATACATACATACATACATACATACATACATACATACATACATACATACATACATACATACATACATACATACATACATACATACATACATACATACATACATACATACATACATACATACATACATACATACATACATACATACATACATACATACATACATACATACATACATACATACATACATACATACATACATACATACATACATACATACATACATACATACATACATACATACATACATACATACATACATACATACATACATACATACATACATACATACATACATACATACATACATACATACATACATACATACATACATACATACATACATACATACATACATACATACATACATACATACATACATACATACATACATACATACATACATACATACATACATTACATACATACATACATACATACATACATACATACATACATACATACATACATACATACATACATACATACATACACACATTACATATATATATATACACATGGTCGGTGCTGGGAATCCCCACCTGGGGCAAGTCGTTGCTTCGCTTGATTGAACCAAGCTATGTTCTGCTCAAGAAGCTGGATGACCAATTTGTCTCGTTGGGGACAGGAAGGCGTCCTTCCAGAATAGCCCACTCCACCGGCTAGATTCAGACTCGTACTGTGCTGTATGCCTCGGGCAAAAACAGCATGAAACCAACATACTGACTAACAGATCGAACAGTGCGAGCAATCAGACAAGATGCTTGTCTATGTAAGTGATATGTATAACTCGATATGATACAACATACCACTTGATGGCATACTATGACAACAAAAGTGTTGGACGCGCGTTTGTACTGGGGTGCGCAATTCTAGAAAGCTGCTGTGGCTTGAACGTATACTATATATGTGTATACAACAGTATATTATCCAGGAATTATATATAATGCATGTACACGTTGTGTATATATATATATATATAACCACAATACACACACACACACAGACGCCTCAATGGTCCTGTCTGCTTTGCACTCAATCCAACGCTGGCCGCAAGTGTTTCCCGCCTCTTATCCAGCTCCCTCCTCTTCGCGTGGCTCTCTCGTTTCCTGCCAAAGGAGACCGAAGCGGGATGGCAATGCGGCACAGGATGTGTCAGTCACCAATGGATCCCACGACGCCGGCGCTGGCCGATGGCAACGGAACGCGGACCTCTGGATGGCTTCGGCATCATCTGCTTCAGCTTCCCCAGTAGCCCCATCCTTGTTTCAATGTGATGCGCAGGAACAAAACCACCCATGTTGTGTTGCAAACACACGATGATACGGTAGCGCGCAGGGCATCTGCAAAGGGATGCACAACTTTCGTCATGGCGTGCTCTCTGATGCCTCGCTTGGCTATAGATTGCCAGCCAGGCAGCCAGCATGAGCGTGGGCGGGTCGGTGATGCACACCTCGAGTGATACCATGCCAGAGTTTGACGTTTCAGTTCTTGCTTCACGTTCACGGTGCATGCAAGATCCAGATCAACCTAGCTGCACCAGAAAGATTCTCAAGGCCCCATGTCTTACGTGCTGTGGTTTTGTCACAGCTGAAATGCTGTCCTGTTTGCTCCCAGCATCTGGGACTGAAGCTACCCATTCTGCGTTGGGCCTTGGGCATGGGTTGCAGGGGGTTTGACTCAAAAGCCAAAAGCAACAACACACACGCACAGCAAGCAGGACGGCACTGCGACTGGTGCCTTAATTTCCTCCAATGTTTGCGTTTGAACAAATTCAAGTATGGACAAGAATGGCGGAGTACATGGCTTACGTTACTTAAGCCTTGTCTAGATGCGCGAGACCCACATACAATATCCAGGACGCATTGCCTCCACTCAGCATGGACTCTTGTGAGCCAAGGCCAGATTGCCACTGCCGTCGATTTAACCGACTCTGATTCAAACCCAGCATCCCCTTAACGTCCATGCTTTGCTTCGAGGTCTCTTCATTTCGCTTGCTTGCCCCCACAATTGACCATTCTCGATTCAAAGATGATCCTCCAGGTCATCCCCAAACTGATTGGCTCATGAAGATCATGTCTCACCCAAGGCCTGTCTATCCATCTTGGTTGACTTGACTCCCACCAGGCTTGGCTGAGTCAGCCCTCAGGTCTTAACTTAGAAACCTTGCAAACAATCTAGCGGCATTCCTCGCCACTGGAAACACCCAGCACGAAAACCCGAAATCAGCCAAGGTCAGAATGCCACAGAAAGATCAGCCAAGCCTCGCACTTTCGACAATTCCAAGGTTGACCTCATGCCTTTTTTTCTTGGTTGCTCCTTGAGGCCCTGCGAACATGTGCCACTGCTCTGTTTCCAGCTGGCTGGAAACCCTCGTCACTTCTCAAACAAAAGGGATTGGTGGGATACTTTTGGGTACTGCCCACAAAAAAAAGTTAGGCCACTTCTTCGGACTTCGTCGAACTTCCCATTTGTTTCTACCACTGATCTCCAAGGATGCTCTGGACTGCTCCCCTGCCCTCGTTGTCCCCTTCGCCCGCCCAAAGCGGCGCCTGGGAGTCGAAGGAGGCCTCGAAGACCGCGAAGCCCTTGGCCGGGCTCTTCACCCGCTTCCGCCACCAGGCGATGGCTTGGATCAGGTCCAAGCCCTCTGGGCTGAAGACCTCTCGGGAATGGAGCAAACCCGCTGGGTGCCTGGGCTTCGACTTTGCTTCTGGCAGAGGAAGAAAAAAATCGGCTGGGTGGCTGGGGATCGACTTTTTGGGCAAGGCTTCAACACGTAAAAATGGGATGAGTTTGGGCAACGGCTCCATCGGAAACACAAGAAACCGCAAATTGGTTGACGACTCTTTGGGCAGTTCCATCGGAACAAGCAAACGGCTGGGTTGATGGTTTTGGGGAATGCTCAAAACCTAAACAGATTCTTTTGGGCAGCTCCGCCCGAAATGCCAAGCACCAAGGATCGGATTTTTTTAGGGTGACTGGACTTGAGAGCTTCTTGGACGAGTGAGGGTCCCATTTGCTACATTGAGTGCCTTGACTTTCAACGGGTCAGCAGGCAAATCCATTTTGTGCCCCTGGCAAAAACGTACCTCTTCAGCACAAGCGATTTTGCTTGCCCGCGGGAAGGGAACAACATCCTGACTCTGCGAAATGCCTTTTGCTCGCCCTGTTTAGCTGACAGGCATCGTCAGCGGATCAGGCCATGCTGTTGGAAAATGGCCTTTCTGTGAAACCGTTTAGGGGAATGCCATCCCGCCCATCCCCCGACTGTGATACATCGCTGCCAAGGGGATTCCCTTGAAAGCGGCAACAAAATCCCCCCCTCCCCAATTTCCACAACCATGAATCCAGCCCATCGGACGCGTCGCCTATGCAATTCCATGTAAACACTTGCGCGAAACTCTGCAACTCACCAACCTGAAGTAATTAATCCAGAAGCAAGGGGCGCAAGCTCGTTGAACCTTTCGTGAGCTCGCTGTGATTGAGGCACAAAGATGGTAGGGCCTCAATGTTTCCGCTCACTTCCAACATCTCAGCTCAGGGTCCAAAACGAGAAACACACACTGCTGGGAGCCCAGCAAAGTGATCAAATGAAAGGGCCAGATAGGGCCAGGTGTTTACCAGTCATGACTATTTCGAGACACGAAACAAAATATTAAGGCCCGCAAGAGAAATGGGACAACGAGTGGTGCATTATCCTGAATTTGATTAACACTTGGTTGTCCCGAAGTTGCCCCAAATGTCCAAAACAGACGACCGACGACCGAATGAACTTGTGGATTGATGTATTTCTGGGTGGTCTCTCACCCTTGGCAAACAGTGGAACTGCCTGCAGTGGGCAAACGTATGTCATGTCAGCTGCATTGCACCAGGTTAAACTTTGTGTGAGTTCTCTAGAAACAAAAACACCCATTTCATCCGAAGAAGAGGAAGCGCAAAGAGACATTGAGCTTCGTGTTGCTCCCAAGGGGCGAAAGGGTACGAGATGTGAAGCTCCAAGCTGTGATGTTTGTCCCTGCCAAGGCCGAAAAATCGGCCTTGCTGGCATAGGACCGCATGATGCCGCCCCGCTGGAAGCTGACCTTGTCCAGGAAGAGGTGGACCTTGCATTTCAATTCAAGCGGGGTGTAGCCCTGGAGAAGCCTAGGATTAGATAAGCCGATGGATAAGTTAGAGACTATTTCACCCTAGGAAAAGCCAATCAGGGATTCTTGGAGGTGCTTTTGATTTGAATTCACGCCTGGTGCCTCCAGCGTGGTCTTTGAATTCACGCCGTGCCCCGGTGCTTTTCTTTCGAATCACGCCTGGAGGTTCCGGTGTTTTGTGAAATCAAACTCGGAGGCTCCAGTGATTCTTGTTTGACCCACCTTTGCTTTGTGGTTGAAAAGAAAGAGACCCTCCAAAAGAGCAACTCTACAGCTTTTGCGGGGCCAACATCCTGTTACCAACCGGGTCAAAAGGCTCTGCGCCTGCGGGGGAAGCAGTCAAACTCAGGTAGAAGTGAGCGAACATCAAGCGCTGTCATGTACCCCTGAGAGTGCGCCCAAATTCATGGCAAGCTTTACATTGTCTTGGCTGTGTACTAACAACATGTTGGGGTATATAGTTTGCAACCATTGGGGGTAACTACTTAGGGTACATGGCTATTTGCCTTTAAAACAAATACAATGATTTAATGATGCCATACGCTTGAGCCAGCGGCCAAACACATTCCGAATTGGGATTGAGGAGCTTTGAAAGGAAAGGGGGCATGGGGGATCCTCCAAACATAAGGGACCAACAGAAACACAAGTGGGAAACGTAACTAACCCGTTCTATCGGGGCAACCTGCATTGCTTAAAATGTTGTGCAGGAAACGGACACTTGAGTCATAATCAACACCGGTAGGAGCCCAACCAAAAAGCTTTATCAACACATCGAAAGACATGGCTGTGGCTGACACGCCCGTGCGCAGGTCGCGAAGCTAAGCTAAAGGCTCGCATGATCGGCAGCCGACTCCAGGTGGCCGCCATGTCCCAATTCATTTTGGGCACCGCCTGACGCGACGCACCAAAAACCAGACAAGCAGCAGTGCGAGTTTGGAAGGTTGAGGCTGCTCACCTTCTTTGTCTCTTTCTCATAGTCGTTTTCCCAGCGTGAAGTTCCACCGGGACAAACAGCAAATCCATACAGTCTTCCATCTCAGCAAACAGAGCAATTGACGATCTGCTTCTCTCTACCTTGCTTCCCGTTCCGAAGGCTTCCTGTTGAGCAGTTGAGCACCTTTCACCTGGCCATTGGCCGACCGCTCGCATCGGCCAATCCAACAATCCTTGAGCCGTGCACAAAGCAAGTCAGACTCCGGCGGAATTGCCCGGCATCGCGCTGCAAATGATCGGTCTGTCAACTCCCATGGAACATGGAGGTGAAGCGCATCGGTCGTCAAGCGGTGTGGCGTAGGAGGGTGAGCAAAAGGCCAGACATGCGGCAGTTCGGTGAGCACCGAAGGCTTTCAACGGAATTTGAGGTGCGTGCAACTAACTCCAACGGGATGACCTGACCAACTCAGAGCTGAAGCCCGGTGTGCTGAGAGGCTGGGTGAAGTGCGAGGAGCCAAGAGTATTCTCGTCCCCTACTGTTCACGTCTTCCCCCCTTAACTAGACAAAACACAACATGTTTTCCCCGGGGGACAAGGACCAAAAACAACAACAGTTTATTAGGCCTCCCCCCCTGATTGTTTTTTTTTCCGCGGCAGGCAGCATCTTGAGTTGTAGCACAACGTACACTTTCCTTTCACAACATGCAATGTTTAAGTAAGATATTTTAATTGTTCAGAGATTCTGTTTCTTTTTTCAGCTTCCGGTCCATGTTTCAGGCATGCAGGCAGGCAGGTTGGCAGGCGCTTGTTTGAGCATGCAGGCATGCAGGCAGGCAGGTAGACGCGGTCACACCGGCGCGAGCATCCCAGAAGGCAACGCCGGAGCTGTAAGCAGATGAATCACCCATGACCAAAAGTTCAGCGAGCTCCTGACGTGGAGTGTCAAAAGCTGTTCAGGGTGATACGCAGCATGAGTAGGGCAATCTCTTCCAGACACTTCAGATTCCTTCTAGGCTTCCTTTTCAATATTTTGAAACCATCCAGGAAATTGGATCAACCCAGCTGGAAGGAAGGATACCTCAATCCTAGAAACCCTGCAGGACTCCATCAAAATCCAGCAGACCCACAGCCATGGGAAGCCATGCCTGCAAAATGCCGTCAATACTGGTGTAGAGCTCCACGTCCCCGGTGACCGGGTCCTGTCGCCTCAACGTTCCCGCCACATCGCGCGACACCTGGCTGGGCTGGGTGTTCTCCTTTGGGGGTAAGAAGCAATTGCCGATGGATTATGGAGTCCCATGATTTCCTTATACTCAGCATTGCAGGAGTATATACATACCCTCCCACCGATCAAAATGGAACCTGACAGGGATCTCTTTTTGGACAATGGTCTTTCAATCAGGTTCCATGTTCTTTGGCTTGAGGGTATATATATACATATAAATATATATACAATATGTGTATGTATGTGTATATATATATATATGTATATGAACTACAGCAGCTACTTGTTGTCTGGTTCAATAGTCAGGTGTTCCCACCTCGTCTGTTTTGACTCATTAACCTCGTTTCCAACGATGCATGTCAGTGTTTGTGAGCTCAACCAGCTATATTTCATGGCCCTACCTCGTTTTGGGGGTGCGCCTACCTCATTTTGCACCTAATGCAGTATGCTAGCAAAAAATGGTTCCGCCCGGCCTTTACTTTTCCGCAATTAACCCCTTTCTGCAACGCCACCGTCCTTTCCGGCCCTATTCATCCCTCTCCTATACACTGGGGGTGGGGAGCGGCTGCCAGATTCGGGGGCATCCATTTCAAACCCTGGGAGGTCCTGAACTATGAAACCCCCGTTTCAGGATAGCGTGACGGGAAACCGCCACTGTCTAAAAGCCGGCCACCTGTTTTTAGGAAACAGGCGGATCGCGCCGTGTTCGATAGAACCCCCGAAAGGTGCTGAGCAACGAAGCTTTGGGCTTTCCAATGCCCGAAGCTGTAAGAAACGCGGAGGTGCGAAGGGCCCTCCTTGAAAACATGCAAATCACCCTCCCGCCCCACCCGGAAAAGTGGGGACCCCTTCTCCACTGTTTCCCTTGCACCTACAACCCGGGATGCATGGCGTGGGGAAGGAGTCAGCCTTTCAGGGCCTGACACCGCCCCATGTATTCCTGAATGGACTGGAATAAGGACGGTGATTCCCACGACGCTGACGGTCTGACTGCCGAGCCCTCACCACTTGCCGCAACATGGGCAAGTGATGTCAGTTTCCTTTGCTAGTTTCAAACGGCCTTTCAGTGCCACACCTGCAAAAGAGAATCAATAATGAACCTTCATTGTGAGGCCCCGGACCTGCAAGACCCCTTGTGAGGTCCCTAGAATTTGCCCAAACACAATGCTAAGGGAGGACCTCACTCAGCCGGGATGGTTCCCCCTTGTGGGGAGTTCTATAAGCATCGTTGATGTTGGATTCCTTGGACTAGTGTGGTCCGGATTCCGCATTTCACTCGGTTTTTGACCCAGCGAAACTGGTTGCTGGCAGCAAATATTTTCCAAGTCGGTCCAATGTCCCAACTCACCTCCTTTTGCCCTGCCTGGTAGGCCTCTTTGGACGCCTCTGGCTCCTGCGACTGCAAACATAGCTAAGCTCTAACATCAGCATATACGAATCTATAGTGAAGTCCAAGCCATCAACGTATCAACATCACCAGCCAAAAACAACGCCTGCCTTCCCAAAAGGCTTTGCTTAGACCCAAATCCAGAACACAGGGCAATTGTGACTTGTCTAGTGTGCGGCAAGCACTTAACACGTGCAGCACGAAGTGACAGTTAGCATCTCTGCAGAGGTCCTGAGGTTATGGCAGCTTACCGATGCTTTCCCATGCTCTACCAAAATAAGCTCAGGCGATATCCCCAACAGCACCACACCCTCCCAAAATCCTCGCGGAACGCCCCGGAATTCACCTCACCGCCGGTGTTGCTGAGGATGCTGCCATGCAACTTTAAAAACCAAAGCGCGCAATCGCGCCCTGATCGGGGCCCGACGGCCCGATCGGGGCCTGACGGTGCAATCGGAGCCCGATCGGGGCCCGACAGTGCAATCGAGGCCCGATCGGGGCCCGACGGTCCGATCGGGGCCCGACGGTGCAATCGGGGCCCGATCGGGGCCCGATGGTCCCGCGGCGCAGCCGCAGCATATTATAACTCAACGCCGGTTTTCCTTAGGGTAGGGCCTTACAACTGTATCCAGCAAAACTAGGCGATGCCAGCTTGGTACAGTTGACGGGGCCCGACTGAGTCGGGCGCCGATTGTGACGTGAATGCGCAATCGGGGCCGATCGGGCCCCGACGGTGCAATCGGGCCCCGACGGTGCAATCGGGCCCCGATGAGTCCCGCAGCAACGTCCGCGTTGCCTGAGCAAGTGAGCAAGTGACAAAACAGTGAACGTTTGCTGAAACCATTGATTTCGGCTTTGCTTAGTGTTCCGCCCATGAGACAAGTGATCTTCTGAGTCCTCAATTTACTGCTCCATGGCTTTTCAGACGACACACTGCTTCCCTCCAGGGCAAACACGGAACCTTGCAGAACATTTCTGGAACCCTCGTGGAACCTTGTGGAGCCTTGTGGGACCCTTGTGGAATTTTTGTGGAACTCAGGGCCGCCCGGACCGTCCCACAGCCCTCGCAGAACCTCGTGGAACCCTTGAAACTTTCGTGGAACCTTACCTCAAACCACCCCGGACCACCCCGCAGCCCTCGCGAACCTTGTGTGGAACCCTCGAACCTTCATGGAACCTTACCTTGCAGAACCTGTCGAATCCTGGCGGAACCCTGGTGGAACCCTCGTGGAACCTTACCTCAACCACGGACCACCCCGCAGCCCTCGCAGAACCTGGTGGAACCCTGGTGGAACCCTGGTGGAACCTTGGTGGAACCCTCGTGGAACCTTACCTCAAACCACCCCGAACCACCCCGCAGCCCTCGCAGATGGTGGAACCCTGGTGGAACCCTCGTGGAACCTTACCTCGACCCGCCCCGGACCACCCCGGAGCCTATCTGGGCTGAGACCCCAAAGCTTTCAGCTGTTGGGGAAAAAACAACTACCATGCTTCCTTTAAAGAGTGAAGGCAGCCTTCAAAATGCAGTGCACTGTATTAGTATGAAAGCGCAGACTAAAAAGGACATTTGTGGGGGCCCCTACCGTCCACTGCTACAGCAGAGCGACAGGTGGTGTTTGACCATCCACATGGTCTCAAAAAAGACACGGCCATTCTGCGATGGTTTATCTCCCAAAACCACAAGGGATGGTAGGCCAGCCGACATAAATGCATAAGGTCTGGGGTTGGTCGCAACTTTCAGGGGTATACTGAATTTCAGATGTGTCCAACAACTCGGACGCTTTGTGCGAAAGCCCCTCTGAAACTGGGGGAGGGGGTTCTAAAACCTTGCAGCGACGTCCGCCCGGCCTCCGTTGCCGCCTCAGTCTCCGCCATTTCTCCGGGACCCGTGAGGGCCGCCCCCTGGAGCCAAAGCGCAGGGTTTTGCCTCGCGAGTGGGATCAATCCCTATGCGCTGAACTCAAGCCCTTTGTATTTCAAGCGAAACACGATCACATGAACGCCGTGTCACCCAAACCCGATACCCATAAACCTGCAAACCCATCGCCAACACCGATACCCACATGCAACATTGTCGCTACCCACAGGCAAAATTGTCAGTTGCTCACGTGGGGGTTGCAAAGAATTCGGCGCCTTTTCTCACGCCCCCTTTGTGAAACGCACCAGATCGATTCAGATTTGTTCCGACCTACACGCGAATTCTGGGCCGAGGCCTGCAATTCGGCACTGCGAGTGCCTTTCAGCTGACGCCTCAAGCTCTTGTGGAAAATCACCCTTGTGATACCGAAGTGGGACTTCCAGACTTTTCAGTCTATGGGCCCCGCATGTCCCACAACTATGCGCCTCAGAGGTTGTCCAAATCAATGTCGTCCTGTGGCGAGTGGTCTGTTCTCTGGGCCTGGTGAGGATTGCGTGCGTGCACATTGACGTGCTTGCAAGGATTTGTCTCAACATAGGTTGATTTCCTTCACAAGCTACGATGGTTTACCTTTGCCTGTTTGCTTGCTGCGTGATTGTTCATCTATGCCCAAGATTGAATATCTAGTCTGACGACCTTCTCGTCAATCGATGGCAAGAGAAAGGCATGATCCCCGGGTCCCTCTGAAAGGGAGCCCTGATTGAGAGCTGGAGGGTGCATGATCAGGGCTTCAATGAATGGGCCCAAAATTCGCATCTCCTTTTTGTCCCTTTTTGGCTCTACGGATTAGCATGAGACTCGGCAAGGGGATCATTCACCCCAAAAGGATATTCCTGTCCAAACAAGTTAACCGGAATGCCTTTCTGTGGGTGCCTTCCGATATATCTGCAGTCCAAACTCCATTCAACAGCTCACCCAATTTGGGTAATCGGTCAGCGGCCGAAAGAGCTCTGCTCAAGGTCAGCGGCAGGAGTGCATGATCCATATTTAGATTATTTAGCAGCAAGCAGTATTGCCAGAAGGAACCGATAGCGTTCCATCAAATACCGAAACTTATCAACCTGCAAAAACCGGCCGACCACCGAAAATCGATACCCTGGAAAAAGGTCCGCACACGGGGCAGATCCGTGGGACATTTAGAGGCTCTCCCATGTTCGCCCTTCCAAGTTCAACATAGACTGATAGGACCAAATCTCATCTCAACTTTTGCACTCCTCCTCATCGCGGCGCTTGCGCTGGATCTTGATGGAGCCGCCAGTTCCACTGGCGGCACTCCTAGGCGCAGCTTCTGGCGGGAAACCATCGGCTGAGCGAACTGGACAGAAACGAAACAACGGCAAGAGCTCACAATCAGCACACGCTTGGAGAATTGAGCGGATTCTACACCCAAGTTCGGCCCTTCGAATTTGGCGAAAGCCGGGGCTTTCGCGGCCTGGGAGGTTTCTTTCGCAAGATATTTTGCTGAGGGTATAGGGGTTTCCTGGTTGCTTTCGCTTTCGCAGACACTGGAAAACAAACATAAAAATTGCTTTTTCGGGCGGCACATGGGAACATGGAAGGAAGCACGGGTTGGGCTCTGGGGGCATGGGTGGAAAGTTGCAGGTACACTTGAGGAGCTTTCGTGGTATCGGTCAGGGTTTCCACTGCATAAGCCGAACTTACAGTCACGCATGCAAACAAAGGCAAAAAGTTGGAGCCCTGGCGCGAACCTTTCGCGAGTTAGTAAATGAAATATCTCACAAATAGTATTGTCAAATGCAGGGGCTTTAGAACACCTCTCAAGTTTGACGATTCAAAGGCAACTAACCCGGGGGTTCATGGTCAAATTCAATCAGATGCTTCTGGCAAAGGGATAAGACGTTTTGAGCACTACACCTGGTGTCAAGGGCGACCTATATGCAAGCAATCGCCCGCCGTGATAAAATGGCTTCAGTTTCGGAAAAGTACACAAATCACCAAACTGTCCGGTTTGAAGGAGAGGCCATGCAACTCTGCCCGACTAAAGTCAACACCCTTGGAAGTAAAGAGACGACCTTTATGTGATTGAATCCTCAGTCTTCCTCCCACGTCCCCAGCAGTTTCACTGAAACTTTGGGGAACATGACATTGCTGAAATGCAAACAGGGATGTGACTTTTGCCGTCGAAGTCTCATCTTCTCTATGAGCTGCGAAAGCTGCGAGTCGCTGATCTTTTCCTGAGAATAGGAAGCCAACAAGGTGTAGTGGATGTGGCTGCCTTGTTGGAGACAATCCTGTTTGCAGGGTTAGCTTCAAGTGAAACCAAAGAGCAACAAAAGGAAAAGCAAAGAACAAACGAAGGAACACCTGGCCGCACTTTGCAGGTTCCCATGTGAGACAAATCTAACCAGATCAGCGCGGTCATTCACTGCAACATCGGTTTTTCTCAGGTTCGCTGTAAACACATCGCCCTATATGATTTATCTTATTTCCGCAGTCAGACTTGCAAATTCCACCAGGAGCTGAGGAAAAGAGGTGTCTCCCCAACAAAGAGTATGGCTCTTCTCATAAAGGATGGTTAAAGGGATGCTGGCAGGAATTGGGGCCTGTTGCTCCTATTTGGGGAGGCATATATATATATATATATGTATACATATTATATATATATGTTAGCGTATGCTTTTACCTATATATATATATATCGATATATATATATATATATAGAGAGAGAGTCTGTGTGTATGCGTGCATACTGCTTCAATGCTTAGGTACAACTGAGCCAGGCACTGTGATGCGACCGCTCTGCGCCTGCTGCAGGAGCATCATCTCCACCTGCGTGGCCCCAGCCGCTTCCAGACTTCCGAGCCGGGCGTTGGGCAGCTTCTTCCGGGAAACGAAAGCAGATGCCAAGCCAAGACTCAAGGAATTCCAACGGACACTTTTCTAGGGATCCTTCTTTCCAGACCATCAGAACCCCAGGGGAAACAGCTGGTTTTTGAAAAGAACGATGGTTGCAAAGAATGGGGAATCATTGGCAGTGCTTCTTGATTGTCTTCTTGAGGTTGTCTACCAGTCTACCAGGTCTGTCAGGGTGTTTTGCGGTTCACTTCAGCGAAGGAACAAAAGAACACCCCAACCTTGGCCATTTTCTGGAAGTCGGCTGGAAAGAAACACATCCAGCATCCAATCCTCAAACTAAGCGAACCTGGCATGTTTGCGTCTTTCCCGTAAACCAGAAAATGGGGCCCCCAGCTTCCAGGCCCACCCAAAGAAATGCTTGACTGTTCCGAGCCTAAGGTCTTCAGAAAGGTTGCATCGCCCTACTTATCAAACAAAGAGTGCAGAACTTGGTAAGCTAGCCAACGGGTGCTTTAGTGCTCAATCCGTACTTCCTCCTCTGGTAAGTCTCTGGTAACACCCACTTCTTGGATCTGAGATTATATGCTTTCTATCTTTATCTTCCTACCTTGATTTCTAGAGTGTTAACGACCGAAGGGAGAGACATCACCAACTCCTAACTCCGAATCCAGACAGGCATGACAGTAGGAAGTGACTTGGAAAGGCAAGTTGTGATCGAAGCATTACCTCTTAGACACAGCTTTGCAAAGAAGATTCATTTTGGTGAAGATAAGATATAGAAGGTGAGTGCTTGGGAAGATGTTGAAAATAAATACTAATATTAGAATTGCAAATATGATTATAGAAACAAATCGGACAAGAAATCAACGAAAAGATGAAGGTAAGATGATGTAAAGAAAGGAAAAGGAATCTGTGGACCCGCCAAGCTTGACAGAATTGTTGGCTTTGGGGTCACCCTTCGCTCGTCCTTCGGTAGCTTCCGGAGTCTTGGGTAGGATGGAAATGTGTGAGAATTCTTGGTGTGAGAGCAGGCTTGGGATGGAAAGTTGTGTACAGGATAATTCTCGAAAGACAGAGCGCTATCACACATACCATTTCCTCAGAATCCAACCAAAGAAGAATTTCAACCTTTCTATCTTGTATTTCTCACTGATTTCTCACTTACAAACCTGTCGATTGGTGAAGATCTTATGGTTAGGAAACGAGAACAGAGACAATGAGATGTAGCAAAGAGAGTGATAGCATATGAAAGTGTTTGGTGAGACGGCTTGGTGACGGTTGAAATGGTTCTAGAGTCTGGGCTCGTGGACAAGGTGGTGGCTGTTAATGAAGGATGTCTTACCTTGATGAACAGGAATCAATATTTATGCCTTGCTCACCTCGTCCTTTCTGTAGCTCTTGATGTAGAGAAAAGGAAAGTTGATTACTAAGATAAACAGCATCTGGATTAACCCATAGGAGGTAGAGAGATGAATATTGGTTGGGAAGCTTGGAAGTGAGAATGTGCGAGAGAAAGGACATAGTGGAGAGACAGGTGTAATTCCTTCCTTGTCAAGCTTGGAATCACTCTACGCTCTATCCCGTCTATAGACAAGGCCCAGCTATGAATCCAGGATGAAGACAATGACTTCTTTAACCGTCACCAAGCCTCTATCTCATGGACGGACTGTCTCTGTGGCACCACCTACCTGAATCGGAATTTGGGGAACCGATCGTAGGTGGTGATGAAAATGAAATACTAATAAAGTAGTAAAATGGTGAAGACTCTTAAAGATTGCTTTCAGAACCTATCTGTAGAAGATCTCCAGATATAGATTCGGAAAAGAAGAGCTTCTGGTCAAACTCCTTTCCCTTCTCTTGGGATTTTAACCGATACAAAGTGATGAAATATTAAGGATGGAATGTGATGGAGGTTTAATATGTTGATGAAAGATGTAGGAAGTTCTTTTTTGTCTCATCATCCTTCTGTCTCACTTCTCCATTCCTAAAGTCATTCCTAATCCGCAAGGAAAAGTATCAGTACCACAATAGGTGTCAGGTTTCCCCTTCTGTTTCAGTGAATCCTTTAAACGGACATCATCCTGGTTCACCGAGTTTCGCCCTTCGGGTTTCCAATTTCCCAGTGTTCCCAAAACGACAGAACGCTGCGGGGCACCACTACTTGTTCCGATGTGTGGCACTCAACACACCAAACCCCGCAAAGCCCATTCTACGGAACATGTCTTGAAAAGACCAAACCTTGTTAAAGCAAGGCCTTTTTCTGGCCTTTCGGTCATCCGACTAGGACCACACCCCGTTAAATCATTTATGTCCCGATTTCTGAATGCTAGTTTTGCTGTGCGATTTTCGGCAGTCCTAGTTGTGTCAAACCCGGTTACACCCATACTGGAGTTCCGATGTTCGGTCATGCTAAGAGGGCCACCTCCGTTCAACCCATACTTCTGTCCGGCATTTCCACTTCTGGCTTGTTGAAAAAGGAGAACATGCCGCGCTTCCAGCTCTTGGCCCATCCAAATGTGGGGATTGCCACATGCAGTTCTTCCCATGGTTTCCCAGATTCGGAACACTTCTGGTTGAACCGCCCATCGAGAGGTCGACCACCCCTACCGACACGTGACAAAGGTGCTCGTTGGCCCACATCTGTGCACAGAAAGTCACATTTTCTGATGTTTTTTCAGTTTTACTCCAAAATCCAAACAGTGAGACGCGTCCGTGTAAGAATCCCCTCCAAAAAAAATAGAGAAAGAAGTGGGTTTCCCTTTTTGGTTTCCCTTTAAACCCCCAACCTTCTTCCAGTCCCCTGAGAAGATCAAAAAAAAACAGAAGGAGAGACGCGGCACTTGCGTTTCGCGCGCATCACCAAGGGCCTGATCCTTCTTCTCCGGCTTCACCAGGCCAATGCGGGAGAGCCGCTCCAAGGCCTCCCAAGTGAGCGCTGGGCGTCGAACGAGCGGGCGGCTGCTTGCGATTTTCTTTTTCCATTCCTAACCCACCCGCAAAGGGGACCAAGATCCACGAAACAAATACCTGTAAAACAAAAAGAGAGGCCAGGTGCTTTTGCCCTTGACTACAGGCAAATGGATTCGGGACCAAAGATGCACACACACAGAGACAAGAGGAACACAAGAGTGTCAGGTGATGTGGTAGCCAGCGTCCAGAGCCGAGAAGTGTGACAGTCTCGGTCCCAGCGTCTTTCTTTGAGACCGTTCTGGGGTTCCGGGAAACCCACCCATCTGCGAGGGGTTCCATGTCCCATTTGAGGCGAACCCAGTTGCAGGGTAGCCTCGCTCATGTCTCGCAAGAGCGATGAATTACACCCGACGGTCAAGGCAGGCGAAATGATTTCAAGATTCAACTTGCAGCCCTGAAAATGGCTACCCTTCCCCAGAACATTGAACCCACAAAACACTCAGTAGCATCTCCTTAGGCTTTTTTTGGGGGGAATCCGTGATCACTTGCATGGGAGCATTGCATTTGGTTTGAAGCCTTTCCCAAGGTGTAGATTGGAGAATCTGTGAGCACGAAATCGCCGAATCGGATGTCTTCCAGGTTGCCTCTTCCATCGTAGCAGACTCCGTGTTACGAGTTTGCTTTTTGGAGCGTCCTTCCCTGGCGATTTTCTGATGCACTTCACCAAACGGCACCGTGCCGAGGCCTCCGGCTCCAAAATGGAGCGGACCATAATCCGCTTCCGCTCCTCCGAATGCCATCTAAGGGGACATCATCCTAAGTCACCTTCCCTCCAATTGGTGGCTTGGATTGGCGGTTTGGTGGTTGAGGGGTGCTTTGCCATCCACCCTCTACGAGAACCAGGGCTTCAAATCCCCGGACCACCAATCCAAACCACACCTGACCGCCAAGGCTTCCCTCCAAAAACGAGCCCGGAAAAAACAGGTGGAACGGCAAAGTCACTGCGCCGCAAAAAGCCATGTCCATTTGCAGCAGCTTCACTGGGGCTCAGCGAGCTGGTTTCCTTCCGAGAAGCCAGACGCATTTGGTGCAGTTGAAAGGGACCAAAACAGGCTCTGTCATTTTGTAAGACCTCCACATAGCTGCCTCATTAAAAGGTATCCTTTTGGGCCACTTTGGGGGTTGGTTTGAAGGGGAACCAAGGGGAACCAATATGACATGTATATCTATATCTATATATATATGTATTATGAAATATATAAACAGTTTGGGCCTTCCCCCGATTTCTGCCGACACCCCGAAGGATGCTCGCAGATAGCTCCTCCATCTCCTGCTGCTGCTGTTTCTGCTCATGCATCTTCTGGAGATCAGACTCCTTCGCGCAAGTCCAAACAGGCATCTCAAGCTCACCCAAACACACACCAGGATGGTTTCAACAATTGGGGAACACTGAACATGGCGGGCTTCCCTCCTGACTTTCTGAATCTGAACCGCGACCAACAGCTTTGAGTCCCGTTCATGACACTCGCAGAAACATCGATATCCTTTTAACTGCTTCGTCCTGGTCATGACATGCCAAATGCTGTTCACCGTTTCACCTCCTGCTCTTCTAATTGTCTTGCTCGTCGTGCTAGTTCGTGCAAGTCTGCTATTTGTTGAGGGATACTGATTTATTTGGTCAGGCGGTGTAACCATCCAATGGATTATTTTTTCATCATATCATGTCACACCTATATGTCTTCGCCATCAGCATCTTTTGGTTGGCTAACTGTCAGGCAAAGATGGGGCAGCGACAGCAATATGTTGTAATAGGCCGGCATATTTCCTATCAAATTCTAGCTCTCACTCGCTTCACTCGCTCATCTCTATCAAATTCTACATATCATCTCATTCACCTCCAGATACCAATAGAAAAGAACCAATTTAGCGTATCCAGCTAAATCTTACCTGTCTTGCATATCATTTATTTCTTTCTACATCAGTATCACTCAAGGACTTGAATACTATCTCTCACTCACTGCTAACTCTTTGTGAAACTTGACGGCACCTCAAGGAGGTTCAATGCCCCAACAAGGGAAGCTAAGGTTCATTCACCACTGGATGAACCTCAACCAGGCACTACGCTGAATGCCGCGCGAAGCAAGAAGGTTAAGGTTGCGAAGCCAAACCGGCAGGCAGCCGTATGGCTCAACCTTACTTTGCTTTCGTGCAAAAGAACTCTGCAACAAATCCTCCGAGCATGCCCCAGAACCCCTTTTGAATGGAATCCTTGTCACTGGGGTTGTGGTATATGCTCACAGGGTACATTGGAAGCTCTTGGATTCATGCACAAACATGGACAATCGGCCATAGGTGCTCGTCAAAGAATTGGCCTGCCTCGCCTGCGGATGGCTTGCTGTTGGTGTGGAAATGGACTAGGGTTTGTTCAAGGTCAATTTTAGCGCGCTTGTTTCCGCTGCTTGCAGGGTTTGTCTGCATTGCACGCTTTTGGTTTCTCTGCGTGGATTTGCCAGGTTTAGATTAATTGGGGGGCAATGCTTGGTGTTTGCTTCCGACTCGTTTCAGGTTGACAATGATCTGCCAAACAGGTCAGCTTCGGGGCTGGGAGGGCGGGGGGAATACTCAGGTGCGAAGTTCAAAGATCGCACAGTAGGCAAGCCGGGGAATTTCGGCCCGACAACAGCTGTACCAATTCTGGCATGTCAGGATGAGAAGATGCTGCAAATTACTGAGTTCCAGCTGGGAAAAAGCGAACACCAGTGACCCTTGCGCAAATACACGGCGAAATCCGGCGCGGGCCCAAGTCCCCTGCCTGCTGCATCTGCATTCCCGCTGCCATCTTGGCGCGGGCTTCTTCATCGGCCTGGGATGGGGGCAACAAATTCCTAGCTGGGCTCGTCTTTGAGCTGCGCAAGTTTCACCGTTTGCCGGGGTTTTCCAGAAGCTAACAAAACAAAGGGCAACCCAAAGCGCAACCAAGGAAAAGGTGGCAAAAGCCAAGTTTGTCCGTCTTTATCCATTTGCTGCATTGTTTCTTTTCGTCTGCCAAACTCAATGCCATGTCAGGCCATGTTGTTTCAAGCGATTTAATTGCCGGAAGGGGAAGCACTTTCAGAGGACCAAGCCTGGGAAACACGACTCAGCTAGGCTCCCCTTGCGATTGCCACTTGTGTCTGATGGGTGACGCGACCCCAAAAGGAATACAGAGCTTTGACTTCAGGCGGAATGAAATCATATGGCCACTCTATCCATTTGCTGCAGGTCTCATAAACAAATGATTAAAACAATTGATACACTTGCCAGTTCTGAGCATTTCCCTTTGAAACCATCAAGGAAACTCGACAATGACACATGACCTTTCTCAGCTCTGACTCTTCCTTGCTGACCACCGATGGCAAAATGATGTTGAAACAAACCCTCACCACTTCGGCAAATGGACTAGGCCCTCCAGAAGAGAGGTTAAAATAAGCGTACCCTTTTTCCGTAGTCTATCTTAGTAGGGGAACCCTCCCCCAAAAAGGATAACTGGCGGACCGAAGCTTTGGGTCAACATCTCATGCATCACGATCCACTTGGACAAGCTCCCACCTTCATGGCTACGAGGCGCGCCCCCTTACCGAGCCGAAACGCTGCAGCTGCGAGAAGCCTAGTGGCCTGCGGCCAAGGATACGTTTCAAAGGAGCAGGATAGGATATGTTGGGTTCAAGTCTAAGCTGGGGAGCATAAGATGGGCTCCCTTGCCGGAGCGTGAATTTCCGTGAGCATCACCTTCTGAAGTTGTCAAGCCCGTCCCCCGACTACCGCCTTTTCACCGATTCAGATGTCAAAGCGCCGGCTGATTTCCTCAGATTCTCCGCATTCGCCCAAACCCATGTCACGTACGTTCCAGATTTCATCCGGTGGTCCAACGCGCGCCTGCTTGAGTTCTTCGAACTTGTCACTGTGAATGATGCGCGTCACCGCAGGGTCCGGTTGGACACCCGTGGGGTTTGCTGTAGAGTGCTTGGCGTACCACACCGATACCGAGCTCGTCACCAAACGGAAGTACTGGCGATGTGTTGGCTCCACCAAGGGCAAAGACTCGTGTGGGGTTGCATCCGTCATCCAGTACCTCAGCCGCAATGACTAGGTGAGAGTCTCCATGTTCGCGGTTGGAAGACTTGTAGCGAAATGGAGAAAGAACTATAACAAGAATGCAGCATCAAACACCGCGCACCGGAAAAGAGGAATTCTTGCAGGTAACCTACGGAACCTTCATGGGTCGCAACCCCCAAAATCTGCGGTGGCGATGTCAGGCCAACCGCCCGTGTTGACGCCTCGGGCGAGGGGCAAGGTATTGGCTTCGGAGAGCGTCGCAGGGCCCAGCACCTGGACTGGTGGATCAGGTCTAGTTCAGTCCAGTCCCGTACAGCTCAGGCGGGACGTATGGAAGTGGGATACCTTTTCCAAACAAGGCAATACGGCTGTGGGTCGAGACCAATGGTACCATTTTGGGGTACGACCCATTTTAGACTATTTTGTGGGGATTGGGATGTTCACTGGGGGTACGGGCTTTTGACCCATGGCCACAGCGCTGAAGTGGGATACCTAAGATGGAGGTTGAACAACGCGGCGGGACAATCAAACAAGTTCACCCGTGCCAGATCCAGTTACTGCAACCCCGACTTCACGAGAAACCTAATGTTGACCCCGGATTAATACACCCGCTGTAACCTAATGTTGACCCCGGATTAATACACCCGCTGTGTATTAGGTGTGCCTGGTTTTAGGAACACCCCCATATTAATAAACAGGGGTTTGTTCATCCGGGGTCAACACTATCACATTCAATATGCAAGAACCGAGTGCCTCCTTCAAATGCGTCAGCTCTCCCAAAGGGCCACACACATCCGCGGGTGCTGCAAAGCGCATGTTCCAGAACCTGGCAAATGGGCGTTCCAGGGGCTGGACAAATGGGTGTGGTTCAGTGGTTCACTTTTGTTCACTCACTTTTGCTTTGCCCTTTTTGGGCTGGACTGCAAGGGAATTCAAAGGGAGAGCGGGATGGCCCTGTCAGACAAACCCAAACAGTAGCATTGCGGACTTGTGATGTCTTTCTGTCACTGGTGAGATCCTGAGGCCAAATCCAGACACCAAAACCAAACCTTTCCAAAAGGTGGAATTCCCAAGCAATCAGTCACTGATTTGGGCTTTTATATACATATGATAGGAGTTGTCAAGGAAGCGGTGTTGCTTGGATTGATTTGCGCTTAGCATCTTGCTTCCCCTTACTCATGAAACTGAAGCGGAGCCCGGGAAAGAGTGGGGTTCCGTGAGTGCCAAACTGTTTCATACCCATCCCATGTGGTTTTGTTGGTAAGTTGACAAACATGCATGTTTACTCAGAGCCTTCTAGGAAAAAGGGAAACTGGTATGAACTGATTTCATGGAACGATCCACTAGCAGTGTCTGGTGTTTGTGCACCGCGAAACAGAGTGACAACTCAGGCTTGGACTTGGCAACAAGCTGAGGTATACCTGAATGCAAGAGAAACAAACAACGACCTGGTTGTTGGAAAGGCAATCTGAGATCGGGACTTGGATTTCCAATCCGAGATCAACATACTGGTTCCTGCTGGGCTATTCACACACTTCCCGATCTCAAGCAACGGAAGCTATCTGTATGAGTGCTCGGCTCGGCTGGAGCAACCGAACGTCTGCACCGGGCGAGGATTTGTGACAAAAGAAAGCCCCAGGGAAATCAAAATAGGTTGTTTCGAATGTGAAGGGGAGCGAAAGGGAATCCAAAGGGAAACCAAAAGCAATCCAAAGGGAAAGTGGTTGAAAACAAAGAAAGGTAGATGTTCATCATTGGGCCCCGCCCGGACACAAACCTTTTCGGGTATGCTCCCCCACGGGGTGTTGAGTGTGGGGTAGAGCAAGGAATCATTTTACATTCTAGCAAACTAGCAAATGGAAGATTTCCACACACAAACCAGGAATCGGCGAGTGACTAAACATTAATCAAACGCTAGAATGCACATCATTCTAGCCTCGATCTAGCCTCCCTCCGATCATGAGACAATGATATTGTGGATGGACGAAATCCTGCACCACTTTGAAACCATGGGAAACCATGCGAAACCATAATTTGTTGGTATTTACAGGAGAATCATCATTCCAGGGTTTCTTAGGTGGGTGCAGCATTTTGTCCATCCAAAGTACCTTCCCCCGGGTTCTCAAAAGGCGCGTCCCGTTGCCCATGTCCCGCGGGCTCAGCTCGCTCCTGGTGGACTGCGGCACTGTGGAGGCGGTGTAGATGCCGCCGTAGAGGCGCTGGTTCACGTAGGACGGCGACGTCGAGCCCTGAGCCAAAGAGCGACTCGTATTATGAGCGACTCTTTTTTCCGAGCGAACGTGGCAAAAGGTCTGGAAAATACCAAAACAGACAGCTTTTTGCACTCCCCCAATGGTTGCCCACGATCCATGGCGAGTACTGCAGGGAGTGAAGAATTATGAGCTGCCCTGCTAAATTGAACTAAGGACTAGTGGGGTATGTTGGGTTGTTGGCAATTGACCCTTTCGTGGGTCTGTGTCCACCAAACATGGTGAAGGGTATGTGAGGGATAAATGAGAGTAGATCAGGCGTGACAACGGCTTCAGTGTCATAAATTCTGCCTTGGGGTTGGGGCAAATCTTTGATCCCTCGGAAGAACGTGGCATGTTTGGCATGGGTGTGCATAGCGCCCCGTACGATAGAAGAGAAGTTGTCTTGGCCGGTGCAATTCCACCTTGATGGGAGGTCAAGTGTCCTATTTGGGCTCCGGCTTTGGCTATGCCTTGCAAGATATTAGTTCAAGGTCCCATGGTAAAGTGTGCATCACTTTCAGGGTTCAGTTCATTTCTTCCGATTTCTCCTTGGCCGAAAACAAACAACAACTGAATAGAATTATTGGCTGACAAGAGAAGGTCGATATCCGTGCTGTGATCAAACTTGTGGCTTGCCTACACTCGATTTGCCAATGTGTTTTGACAGCTGTTGGAGCGTTCATGAGCAAGCCGGTTGAGTTCCTGTAAAACAAGACTCTCTTCAACGAGGTGGCGGACTGTTGGCAGTCGAACGACAAAAACCAGGTTTTGCCCAGAAACCCATGCAAGAATGGCTGCAGCCGATGAATCACCATTCCAGACTTGCGGCTGCTTTTGCTTTGCGTGAGCCAAATGTTCCGTGCATCAACAACGTCTCTTGCCCATGCTTCACGAATCACACATGCCAGCTTGCTATCTAGCATTTGCTGATGCCGCTCATTCCGGGCATCTAACTGCCTCAACATACCTCGACATTGACTCATGTTCAGGGCAAATGGGTAGGGATCAAATTTCCGGAGCGTTTGCAGCAAACGCGTTCTTTGCCGCAAAGCATCGTCGTCCGAATCCCAATCCTCGTCCTCAAAGCCTTCCTCTTCTGCACCCTCCTCCTGAGCATGCGGCAACGTGAGAAGGTGAAGATGCTGCGAATCGCCATGACATATAATATACATAGATGTTCATGTTTGTTTACTTATGCAGTGTTATAAATGCCTTGCGGAGCTGGTTGCTTCCATTCAAGATGCATTCCTAATATCTCGTGAACAGCCACCTGAGTTCTGAAGTGACTGATGCTGAGTTCGTCATGGTATTTACTGAACATGCAACTAGAAAGAACAGACATGGAACCACAGGCAAAGGACATGAACTAGTCAAGACGGCTTTCTGGCAGGACACTCTGTGCACATCTTATACACAAGGCATTCCAAGGCATCTCAAGTCTCGTTCTTTGCAGACATCACGCCTATGTCTGCCAAGGCACCGGCGCATCTCGCAGGAACTTCTCGATGGTTCGCATCTTCGGAGGCTTAGCTTTGGCGCTGTGCGAGAATTGTGAAAGGTGCCAGTGCCAAAAGCACTTGCCAGACTGGATGCGTTGCATCTTCCAGCTCTTTCTGCATAGTGAGCACAACAATTCAGAACAGCGGGACAACAAAAAGCAAAGAAAACCACCACAGGCCAACTGGCCAAAAAAAAGCTCCTCACCATTTCCCTCCAAAACGAACTGGGCAAACAGACTAAAATAAAAGAAAACATGTCAACAGACTTGGCCGTGGCCGTTGCCTGCACAAAGCAGTCCATCTGTCGGTCAAAACCCGAGTCGGGCGAGGCGCTTTCGGCAGCTTTCCAGGCTTGAAGCCCGGCAAGCCGGCGCCCCAGCGCACGCAGGTGTGCAGAACGCAGCCCTCAGAGAGGATGACGCCTTCAGCCGAGTTTTGGTTTTTGGGCCAAAAGAGTAACTGGAAGCACTCATACCTACGCGGCTACTACTCGGTGTGCTGTTCCCCTAAAACATTCGGCAAGGGGGGCTACGCGGAAGAATTTGTGTGGTAAGTGGCCACGGTCGGGGCTACGCGGCTTAGTCATTCAAATCGTACTTCCAGTCGTTCTCAGTTGGCATTGGTGGCTAAGAATGGGTGAAAAGAATGGGGGAGTGACCGTCGCAGTTTACTGGTGGGCTGCCACTGTTGAAGGTCCCCAAAAAGGGGAAACTGAGGCCTTTAAATGGTAAACAAAAAGCAAAGGGAAAGCTTCCGCACCGACTTCTGCTGGAACTGTCCCCCCTGCTTTTCATCTACCCAGGTTTTAGATGGGTGACTGCAGGGTATCGCCTTTCTCGCCCGTTCCACGTAAATGATGGCTTGAGGTGTTGGTTTGAACTTGTGGAGAGTTGAACCCAAATTCCTCTTGAGTTACCAAACCAAGGTATCCAAAGCCTGACCTCCAAACAAATTCAGGGTGACCCTTGGTGGCTATATTTGACTACGCCCAACCAGCCACTTGTTTTCTTTCCTTCCAGATTTGTACCTTGAAGGTTTTTGGATCTGCTTTCCAGCCTGACGGCCCGGCGAAGGCAAACTGGAGGGCTTAGCCAAGGGTCAACCGCAGGTGAGGGGTGAATCGGATGTAACGGTGGAAGGCTCGCGCAGGCACTATTTCCCTTTTCATCTTGGGAAGCCTGTTCCAGCAGTCAAAAGTGCACAGGTTCCCGCATGAAGACACGCACCTTCGTAGGGATGCCGACAAAGTCGCGAAAAGCGGCCAACGTTCACTTATGGATTGTCTATTCGGGCTCCATCTTCCTGCCAGTGCAAACTACCATATGGAACAGGGACCGAGTACAGCATCTGGCTAAACTCGGTCAAGATATTGGACCAGAACGGCCAGGGTAATTACCATACACTTTTCCCAGGCGCAAACAAAATGGGCAACCGTTTTGCGTCGCGCGCTTCCAGTAGGTGACGAAGTGAAAAACGAGGAAACGGGAGCCAGCCACCAAGCAATATAGGCATCGGTATCTGTCAAAACTGGGGATGTCTGTTGAGTGTACTGTATACTTGATACAAGGACGCCAGCAGGAAACCAACAGCTTGAACAGGGCCCCCAAATTGATCCAGGGAACCTGGTTGGCGGCTTTTGTTTGATCAAGCTGTGCGGGTGAAGGCAACACCCGCCGATCAACCGTCTCGCACCTGGAGTCTCTAGGTGTATCCCCTCACGGCGTTGTGCGTATCCACCAGTCACGTCGCTCTCCTGGCATGGCGAAAGCCTCCTGCTACATGAAGACTGGTGCCTGGATCAATGGGGATGTCTTCTCACGGAGCACCCAAAATGGATCGGTTCCCCTTGGTTCCCAAGCAAAACACCCCAACCCGGTAACCCAAAATCAGCCTGAAAGAGCTATATGCGATGTTAGTTTGATTTGGGGTTCTAACAAACCTCACATGCTCATTTCTTGAACAGTCATGTCACCAAAGGATTGTCTGACATCGGCTCCACAAGTTTCTGCGTGTGAGACATGTGCGAACCGGACCCGCGAAAAAATGTCTTTTTGTTGGCCTTCATTCAACGCCTCCATTCAACCACCCCCCCCCCCACCACCAAACAACACTCACACACACGCATACAGAAGGCAGGGAACCATCACGTTTGGCTCGAGCTTGCCTGGACGGTGAGGTAGCCCACTTTGTCCAGTTCCTGCGGAGCAACGCCCATGGAAGTCTTGGGGCTCCTTTGGCCAGTTCCTGGTGGTGTGCCGTGCTAGGGGATCACCTCATCTACATTGCCTGCTTTTTTGTCTCGGTCTACAGGACTGCTTTCTTTGCTGCTTTTCTAAAACTGATGCAAACCTTTCATCTGAGAAATCCTTGCTCCGTTTTTGCCATGTGAGACCTGGCCACACTGGACAACCATGTTGCCAAATACCTTTACTGCGTCTCCTCCTTGGGGAGCCGGCAGGCTTCAATCAGCGGCCAGTAATGCTGGAGCGACTTCGGCAGAGAACCTTTCTTGCCCATGATGAAGGGCATCATGTTGATATCCAGGCCTTGCGACGCCGGGAACCTGAGAGATCGAAGGAGAGGACCCGCTTCGCAGGTTGGGCTTCCTTCTTGTTTCCCGTGAAAAAGGCCTTGGAACCTATCAGCAACCCCAAGTTGGTTGCCCCACATCTCCACGTTTCAACATGGGGAAGCCATAAAGGCACGGGGGGGGGGGGAACAAAAAACAAACAAACAAACAAAACACACACACACACAAAAAAAAACAACAACAACACACACACCCACATGGCAACGACCTCCACAAACCGAACCCCAACCGACTGCGAGGAGCCTTGCAGCGCCGAGGGCCGTGAAGCCCAGTCGGCCATGGGCCTCCAAGATTTGGTCCCGGTAGACGCTGGGCGCCAGGATCAAGACTGTGACGTCCTGCGACGTTCGGCCTCGAGTTCTCATGCCGTGGCTGTTGTTTTTGGTTCAAAGGTGCTTGCTGTTTTGAGGTTGCAAAAGGACCCACAAGGCATTGCCTTTAAAACAATCCTGAGAGGGTGTTTGTATTCCATCCTGGGATCAACATGTTGGACATGACCAAATGAACAAGTTGTCGTTGTTGCAGGAGTGGGAAATCACACCACATGGAGCAACACCCACGGTGACTCGCTTGCGATACTCAACCCTTCGAGGCGACAGCCAACAGACCCAAGATCCCACTGCAAGGACTGGGTATTCTGTCGGGGGGTCCCTCTCCCCTTCTGGGTCACTCCCGAAGCCTCGGGGAAGTCCAAGCAAAGGGCTGCCTTTGTATCCTCTGAGCAGCCCAGTGGAAAAAGTTGCCACGTTCTCTGACAAGGGAAACTGTTGGTTTGCAGCTGACTTGCAGCAGCTCCCTCAAAGATGGGTTCCCAAGTTCATCGCAGGAATTGGCACCCTCTAATTCTTGAATCAGCTGGTAAAGGGTTCTCTACTGGCTCAACTGTGTTTCACATTCACCGGCCTCTGCCTCTGAGGCTTGGATTGCGTCGGCAACTGCGCAGTTGCCGCTGATGCTTCGATCCCCGCAAATGATGGACACCTGGCACGCCACCATCGGGGTCGGCGGTTCGGCCCTCGTCCCGGGGTACTCTCCGTGGCTTTGGCTTGCATAGCCCCGCCCGAAGAAAAAACAAAAAATATTCGGGGTGTCCACCGTCCCAAGCCAGGCTTCAGGCCAAAATGGGGAAAAACATGATGTGCTTTTAGCCCGCTTTCCCTTGGCGTTATGTTTGGTGGAAGCGTTAGAAACCCCAACCCCACGAAAAAGGGGCCTGGAACCCACTGATTGCAATTGCTGGATGCAGCCTTGCCCAACCATCGCTAGAGGGATACCTGGAGCCTGGGCTCGCTCCGCCTGCAAGATGCCCACTTTCAAGGCGTTGGCGGCTCTTCTCCTGCAAACTCAGAGTCCAAACCTGCAGTTTGTCCCCTTTTGGGCAAACCCTTCACCGGGCTTACCGCCTCCATGACTGCTTTATCACCAAACAGGAGGGGACATGTTCGGGGTATCACAGAACGTGGTCCTAACCAACCTTCTTGTTCAAAACAAACCCACGCTGACGACATTTTTCTAGGGCTGCGACCATGTTGCAGGATGTGTGTGTGTGTGTGGCATGGTCTTGAGTTCCCAGTTCTGAACGTTGAAAAGCGTCGCAAGAGCGACCGCAAGAGTGCTTTCAACCTTCATTTTCAGAATATAGTCTTCCCTTTGGTTCCCTGCACACTGTAAACGCCCTGATGATACATTCGGTCAGCTATAGGGACTCAAACATGGCAAAACACGGGGACCCTTAAAAATGCATGGGTGTCCTTGTGAACCCCTAAAAATACACGGGTTTCCATTTGCTTCTCAAACCTGAGAAACATCCGAACATATGGGACCCCTAAACCTTCACGGAGTTCCTTTTGCTTCTCCAACCAAACAAATCCAAACACAGGCTACGCCGAACACACATGATGTGTGCTCTAGTTTCCGAAAAAGCCCTCCAAACAGCAAGCGCCCCTCTGCAGGTTTTGCTTTCGCCGTTGCGGGGCCGGCCTCAAATCCTCCACTGCATGCTCCCCGGTCACGGGAGGGTCCAGCAGCACTTGCTGGCCCGACGGGGTGTGGAGGAGGCAGATCGACACCATCGGTGCGCCCGGGTCTGGTGAGTCCAGGGACAAGGTAAGTAACCCTTAAACCTCAACATTGAACAAACAAAGGGTGTAGTTGTGGATGCCAACAAGGGTTCTACCTGCGGTGTTGAGTCGATTTGCCCTGAGATTGAGGAAATTGAAGATGAGTTCATGAAATCCAGACGCAGTCGCATGGAAACTCGTGCGGAGGTTCACGTGGAATTGTCGCATGGCTTAAACATATTTTGACTGATGAGCAGCCACAAAGGGCTGTTAAAATGCGGGTACCAAGGAGCCCACTAAGAGTTCCATAGATTACCCCTGTCTCCCCACATTGGTCAGGGTCCGGTCTCTCTTTTTTTTTGCATAGTCAGAACTTCAATCTCCTCCAGCGCCTCTGCCTTCTGATGGCTGCAGCTCTCCAGCCCCAACTTGTGCGGTTTTCGGTTGACATTTCTGGGAAAATGGGTTGACGGGCGTGCGTTCTTGAGAACCTCTTTGACACCCTAGGGATGAAACCAGAAACTTACTCTATTGAGGGTTCTGCCCAAATAAAGGCTCGTCAGCACACTTTTTCGTGTCCTTTCCTAGGGGTAGATAACAAAGGGAGCACCCCGTCGAAGAAACCCTCAAGGGGATCCCTGGGGTCAAACGTGAAAAGCCCAGTTCCTTTGCTGCAGACTGAGCAGTGACATGTTGTTGGTCGTGTCGGGCACGCGAGCCACATCTGGCTTGCCTCGTGTTCTCCCGTCACGTTGTGGCAGAGATGTCATGGTTTGGGTCTGTCTTTGACCCCTGGAAAATTCAAACATATTCAAGCTGGGACGAATTATTCGAAAAATCTCAAAGGTCAGATCGGCCAACCATAAAGAGACCAGAACCCTCCACAGAACCTGAGTTGTTCTTGTAAGAACTTAGTCTTGCCTCGAGGGCAAGAGTGCAATTCTTGAATGGGAAGGTCACGTGACTTGGCAACGGACAGGAGATGCATAACCTAGCAGGAACACTCACATGCTTGTAAACTCATAAAGGCTCATGGAGGCTCCACTGACATCCCCATTTCAGATCATTTCAGGTAGTAAGTTATACCAAAATGCCAACCCCCGGAGACTTCCACGGTGAAATCTGTCGCCATCGCAAACTTTTTGCGCGCGGCTCGGAGCTCAGGGGGCCGAGATCTCCACATCGAAATCCTCCTCCTCGGAGTCCTCGTGGCGCTCGGCGACTCGGGTCTCGTTGTGTCACTACACTTTGGGGGAACCCCGGCTTCTGACTTCCAAAAAAAAACCTAGAGTCTTGGAGCCCAAATCATGGCCCCGTTGGAACCCCAATTCGATTAGGGGTCTTATTCAAGCACAGGCGGCAAAAAGGGCAGACCAGGCCAAACCAGAGCCGGTCCCGGGTATGTTGACTTGGCGACCTCGGTACCAGCCCAAGCCAGCCTGCCAGCGACTCAAAAAACATCGAGCAAACAGAGAAGCAAGCGGCAACAAAACAACAACAAGCGCAACACAGTTTGACAAGCAAGCAACTAATTTAGCTAGCAAGCAACACCCAACCACGCACACAACAGCAATGTGCTTTGTTTGCTTCTCTTGTGATGCAGCTGCACATGTTTGAGGCAGCAGCGGAATGTTTAGATTCGTGCTTGTCAAAGTCTTGAACAAGCAGCTGAATCTAAGTGCGTGGGTTTCAGCGTGTCGACAATTATTGAAACTGAAGAGAGGACGGTGGAAGAACAACAGAAAAGCCGGCGGCAAAAGACCACTTCACACAGCATAAAGCACACCGCGCAAAACACCCCACACACACACACAAAACACGCACGCATGCTTGCGCGCAGGCTCGCACGCAGAGTCGCACTCACACTGAACAAGCAGTAGAAAAAATAACAAGACAAGAAATAAGATGAAGAAGACAAAGAAGAAGAAGACAATGAAAAAGAGAAAGATGAAGAACACGAGAAAGATAAAGAAAATGAAGAAGAAACAAAAACAACAATAATCAAACAGAATAAGAACACAACAATAATAATAATAACAATACCAACAACAGTACATACACATAGAAACAGTTCTGATGTATGGCGCAGGTCGTCACAATTCCATCGAAGCAAGCCTGCTTGCAGTCATGAGTGTCCTGCTTCTCCAAGGTCACCGTCAACTTCTTCTCACCAGACGCCTGGCAAATTGTTCTGGAGACAAACCCATGTGTTTGTGGATCAAGAATAGGTACCCAAAATGGCACCCTGGTAAACGGAAACAATGACTAAAACCTGTAGTCCCCTGGTGGCTGAATTTTGACCCACACCCATGTCTGTGTATGTGTGCAAATGAACATGGACCGCATGTGGCAAAACTAAGGTGTGAAAAGGACGCTGACACGAAGCCAGCCATAGAACAAGTGCTGGGAGGCGGTACAACACATCAAAAAACACACATGTGAACAACTTGGGGATGCTTTGGCCTGACATTGAATCATGGGATAGCCAAACCGATCGCTGCTTCACCGACCGTTGGCAAGCAACCTGGCAAGTGCCGATGCCAAATACAATGCCTGTGTCTCGTCTTGCGATTGCCTGCCCCCTCAACAAACGAGTTCGTTTTGTTGCAACCTCTCTCGAGATTGGGGGACCCCTCCAGGTCTTTCTTCCTTTTGGGCAACCCACGAGCCATTGCCCGCCTGCCGTTTCTTCTTGACGCCGACCTGTCAGGACACCAAGCGCCGGTGAGTTGTGCTTTGGCCACTGAAAAACGCGGTATATGCTCCATTCGTCCCCGGAAAACACATATTTGCAGCTGTGACAAAAGCAACCGGGGAAAATTAAAATATTCTTAGCCAAATGGAAGTTCCTAAAACCAACCAGCCAACTGAGGGAAACACCAGATCAGCCAAATCAGTGGCCAAACAAATTGCCCAACTAGCTAATTTGGTGACTTTTGTCTAAAACCAACCAGGGGAAACCAAGACGTCGTCAAATCAGCCAATGGAAGCAGTGGGCCCACTCAATTCGACCAATGCCAACTTCTCCAAGGCCACAAACATCGCGTGCAACACTCAGCACTCTCGAAGCAAAGTGCAGGACTGCAGCTGTTCGGCACAGATTGCACCGCAAAATGCGCTTTTGCTGCGGAAGAATGTGGGTGTGTCGGTTTCTGGGGGACTCCAACAAATACGTGTTTTCTTCTTCGAGGGATTGCAACAGCACCCGGACCAGCACGTTGGCCGCATCGCCGAACAATCACCGACAGCAACCACCACACCAGCTTCAGCACACGAAGCAGCACCCTGACCTGCACCAGCACCCTGCCTGAACGCCAAACAAGCACCACCAGCGGCCACCGCACCTTGAGCACATCAAAAAGCACCGTCACCCCAAACAACACCCTGACCAGCACCCTGGCTGGCGTCGCTGAACACGCACTGCCAGCAACTTGAGCACACACCTTGAGCAAACCTAACAGCACCTTCACCAGCACCCTGCGTCGCACAACAAGCACCAACAGTAACTACCACAGAGCCTTGGCACACCCCAACCAGCACCCTGACCAGCACCTGCAGCACCAACTTGGTCCGAACTCGCAACACAGCCTGGACCTCTTTCGATTTAAGGACCCTTATTAATAGTTAAAGCTATCTGGGGGACACCACCTAAAGCACACAAACAGCACCAGCACCCTAACCAGCACCGGTAACCAGCACCCTGACTGCACAGCCAAACAAGCACCGAAGTCACCGCCACAGCACCTCACGCGCACAAACAGCACCCCTCACCGGCGGCATCGCCAAGCACACAAACAGCACCCTGACTTGCAGCCTGCACAGCACCTCAAGCACACAAACAGCACTTGTACCTTACCACGACCAGCACCCCCTCAACCAGCACCTAAAGCACACAAACAGCACCAGCACCCTGACAAGAAGTTTGCTGCAGCGCCGCACAAGGGACCCTTTACCAAGAAGCGCGGTTTTGTTAGTTAAGCCCCGAAAAGGGTCTGTTTCCCAACCCCCCCCCCCCAACGCCCATGGGATCGTACACGAGCTGTCGCCTTCTTGAGCCTCTTGCGCTTCTTGCTCTCCTGGCACTGGCGGAATGGGATGAACCTTGGCGTTTGACTCACCAAAGGCTCAAGGAAACTCGCCGCGTCCCATGGCCATGGGTTCAAGAATTCTTACAGCGCATGCAAAGCAACTGCAATGTTACATGGGTCATGCCCCTGCTGGAATCGACTTGGAAAGGACGCTGCAAACAATCTATCTACGATTCAACTATCATATCACTCACAAAGAGACACAGGCGTGTGCCTTTGAAGCTTCGCCGCAAGGTTTCTCCTTGGGCGCGGATTGGTGGGAACTGATGTGACTTGATTTCTGGAGTCAATCACCTAACCCAACTCACCCATCCATTCGTCTGATACCGAGTTGGTTTGCTATGCTCAATTTGGGGGCCAGGCCGGCACCCGCCCGAGCCAAACACATATGCCACCTGGCTCCCCGCCTTTGAGGCTACCATAAGAAGGTAGATGGAGGCTGGGTTCAAACGAAACGACCAAAGCCGATGCCCAAGTCCAGTCTGTGTCGCACTCCCATGGGTTCACCAGGAAAGCAGCTTGCGGAAAGCAAGACCAAACTCAAGCAACTCGAGCCTAAAGGAAAAACCCATCCCCGAATTTTCTGGGAGAAGTCCAGTTCCCACGTTTTGGGCACAAACGCAACCTGCTCTTTTCGCGCGTCACGGGCCTGTGGCTGCAGCAGCTCCTGAAAGTCATCATTTTTGAACGCACGGAAACCCCTGGCCACGTGTTGGTGGCTATGCTCAAGTCAAACATCTTACAGCAAGCATTTGGATTTTTACACAGATATCGGAACCGAACATGGTTTCGGCCTGGATTCTTGTTCTGCATGTGCCCATTGGCTGTGGTATGTTGCAGGGGCACCTAGGCGCACGTGGCCGGGGCCCCAAGATGAGTACAAAGGCTTATAGAGGTCTTGCCTTACCCCGTTGAAACAAGGCAGAACCACCTGCCAAAGAACACCTGAGCGTTGGTTTTTACTCCCTACAAACTTGCTTGGACATTGTTCAAGCTTCCGCGGACCCTTCCGCATCCTTGCCGCGGGCCAAGAGGTCCCTTCCGCGAACTTCCGCGGCACATGTGTTTCATTGTTTGCTTCCGCAAACCTTCCGCGGGGCATGGTTTACAAGATTCCGCGAGCATTGGCGCAGAAAGGAAAGCCATTTTAAGTGAGGTAGTGTTCCGCCGTGTAGGCTGGGGCTCCATTGAGCTACCCATTCTACGTTGCCACTTGCCTGCAAACACGGGGCCACCCTTCCGCGGAGCTTCCGCGAAGCTTCCGCAAACCTTCCGCGAAATACGCCGGCTGTTTTGGCCTTCTTGGCTTGCTGTTGGCATCTGCTCTTTGAGTAAGCGTTGCGTTTCTTGTACGCAGCAACACCTTTTCTTCTACTGGAATCGTTTCTCCGAGCTTTTCCATGCACGCACTGAAACATTTAGTTGTATATCAGCCACAAAGCTTCCGCAAACCTTCCGCGAACAAATCCCTTCCGCGAGCCTTCCGCATGCTTCCGCGCATGTGGCACGGCGCACATTTTCAATAATAATGTCCCTCTCCCCACTAAATTAGCTTGCGGCTGAAAAAACACCGCTCATCTGGAAACACGCGCGGCTTTGGGCGCTGAGTGGAAGGCTGGTCAAATGATGGCAACGCTTGGCGGTGCAGCCAGCACTTCGTTTGCACTTCTCTTTCATCTCGGAGGTCATTATATTTCCGCATATATGTATATATCCTACCAAACACCGCACCGTTAAGGCAAACTTTTGGAAGGTGGCAGCGACTGGGCTCATATACCCAGCAGAAGCCCATATCTCGCAGAGGAACCTAGCGCACGTTGTTTTGGGAGATTACTCTGATTTGTTTTTGCTGAAAGTGTTCAAATGACACCCTCTCTACAAGTGGGTGTTGACCACAGTGACGGCTGGTGCCTCCCCTGTAAATCAACAGAAGGAACCCTTCCCGCAAACAGAGATCCTGCTCCCGAAAACCTGATTTGTTTTCCGTTTCAGTTTATGGAACATGCCAACCAGTTCCACGCCTCCAGCGCGCCCCCGACCTGAGAGTTAACATCGTCCCAGCTTTGTCGACGCACCTCCAATTGACCAGCCCTTAATTCAACTTCTTAGGACTACGGAGCATCTTGGAAGTGGCGAAACTAAAGACTTCCCAGTGAGTGTCAAGTTTCAACAATGCCATGGTCAATGGCATTGTGTCGGTGTGTGTCGGTGTGTGTGTTTTTTCAGATTCTGCATCTTCGAACGACACAATTGTCAATACCTGGCATGTTGCGATCGCCCTTTTTCAGCACCGTGCCATGATCATGCGCAACAAAACAAAAGACATCGAGATGATGTCAAGCTCATGGATAGGACCTTTCCAAGCTCCATGAACTTCTGGGGAGGGGGGCGGCGGAATGTGGAGACGGCCGCAAAAAGGCAGGGCAAAAGCCAAAACCAGCCACAGACTCCCGCATCCCTCATAGCTGGTTCTTCTGAAACGTGACTTTGCAAACAACAATTTTCAGAATCAAAACCTTGTAAACAAATTGTCTATCCGAAACTATGCAAAGCATGTGGCGGCCGCACCTATCTCTGGTTGGGACCTCCCCCTCAATGCGTGACTGGCACAGGCAAAGTCCTACTCTAAATGTCTAACTAAGTTGTTTTTGGTTTAAACCTTGGTCAACGTGCAATATTGAGTCAATCAACTGCAAAACCCTTCAGTCGTTCATCTACCACGGGTTGGGTTGTGGCTGTGACAAGGCCACGCAGAGCAACGCCAAAGAGGTCCTCGCTGGCATGGAACTGGGCATCCTACTCCAATTTTGATCGAGTAAAGAAAGTACCGACCCTTGTTTAGGGCTTAGGGTTTTTTAGAACCTTCTTAATGGGTTGTCTTTCAAGAACCTTTCCCTGGGGTAGGGGGGCTCCCAATGTCCCTGAGAATCAGGCCCGTCTTTCGAAGGAGACATCCCGAAATGCGGTCCAAAAGCCGATCCCTCTCTGAATCAGTTGATTGTTCTGCTCCGAAAGAGTCTCAGATGTCAGCCAATTTGGCGATCTTCCAAATTTTGGGTCTCCAAATTGGTTTGCTGGTGAATGTTGTTACAAAGTACCCACGCTTTCAGCATACCAGTGGCCCCTGCGCTTTGGTCTGCGGGTGCAGCTGCCTGCGCGACTGCCAACTAAAGGGGCCCTTGTCTTGCACCCACTGCTGGATTGTTCCACAGAGAAACCAAAAGAAAACCGCAAGCTGCCACTGAGAGTGTACCCAACTCAATGAACACTGCATACCATGTTGTAAGCAGCCACCCTCAGGTTTGTTCGCACAGGTTTCGTCCGCAGCCCCCAAGTGCCTTTGACTTTTTGTGCTTGTCAACGCACTCAAACATCAACATTCCTAAGCCATCCCATCCTGATTTTGAAAGCATGGCTCAGAAGCAGCATTGATGCAAGCATTCGTGTCTGCTTGCTTCTGCCCCAAACCCTCAATAGGATCCGTTAAGGCCCTCGGGCGGGGGAGGTTGGGAGCCTTTGAGCAAGAGCGGTCAACTCATTCCACAGCCACAGCATCAGGAAGGAACCGACACAGCCCAAGAATCCACCCATCCCTGGCTCAAGTGCCTCAACTTTCTTGAGCTCCTCAATGCGCGCCTGGCCAACTGTTGCGAGCAAACCCCGCAACTGGAAATTACGTGCGGTCTGTTGGAACATGCCTGAAGGGTACGGCCGTGGCAACTCAAACCAAAACTTCTCGGGCGCAGCACTGCCATCCCTTGTGTGTTCAAGGCGTCTTCTATGGTAGAGCATTTTAGCAACTGAACGCAGCGCTGTGAACGCAGCCCTGTGAGCGCTGAGGCTGTCCATATCCTTCTAAAAAGTCAAATTTAGGGTTTTACATATTTGTCTTGCAACATGCAAACATTCAATCAACAAACAAGTAAAACAATGACAATCCCAAACAAGCTAGGCACAAGCTCCAGCCAAGATCAAGGTTGGTAGGGGACAATCTGCTTGTGGTGGAAATTCGCCAGTGAATCCAAATAATGAAAGAAATCGGATAGCAACTATGTCCGGGATCCCTCAGTATTGCCCAAAAAACAAGTTGCTTCACAAACGCGAGAATTCTACCGAAAACAAAAACACATGTCTGCCATGATGTCCGGGATGAACATTCCCAAAAAAACAAGCCGAAAATGCGAAAATCAAAACAAACGCAGCAAATCCAAAATAACAAAAAACCAACAGTACAGGCAACATTCAAAAAAACAGCTGGAGAACCGAGGAACCAACAACTCCCAAAAAACCTCGAGGACATCCCAAATGGAAAAAACATAACCTCAGTACATCCAAAATGCAAAAAACAACCTCAGCAAATGCAAAAGTCAAACAAAGCAAAAAAGTAAATGCAAAGAAACAAAATATCTGGAGAATCGTGGAAACCAACAATAATCAGAAAAAAACGAAAGGGAGTCCAAAAAGCAAACTAAAACCCTGTTTCCCTTCCCTCTCTCCGGAACAAACAACAAGTTAAAGCAACATTAAAAAAACACATGAGAAGTTCAACAAAAACACAACAACCCCCACAAAACAAAGGTTCTAAGCACATCTTGAGGGCAGCTACGGTTGCTGACTTGTTGTCTTTCTGTGTCTTTTGGAAATCTTGAGGTTTTTCTGGAATGTTGTATTATGCTTTTTGAGACTTTTTCATCCCGGACATCGTTGCTGTCATCTTGCATTTTTGTTGTTTTGTTCTATTGAAATTCTCGTGCTGTGTTGGGCATTTTATTTGGCATGTTCTCTTTTTTGGGACATATTGGCTTTGCAGAAGGCGTTTTTGAAATCCATCCCGGACATAGTTTGTTTCCATTTTTGGAGTTCTCCAACATTTTTCTGAATCTTGCATTTGCTAAGGTTTCTGCTTGGGATTGTTTAGATTGCTGCAGGCTTTTGGAGACTTTCCACACAATGGGGTTGTCCCCTACAACCCTCATCTGGGCTGGCGCTTTGCTACCTGGTTTGGGGGTTTCACGGTGTTCTTTGTTTACTGATGAAATCTTTGCATGTCCCGACACAAAGACTTTGAGATTGCCAGAGAGCAAAAAAATAGAAGCTACGATTGTCATTGCATTGTTTGGATATATTCTGCAATTCACAGACTGCTACGTGCATGGCTGACATACAGCCAGCGACCATTGTTTCCATCCATCCATCCATCCATCCAGCCATCCATCCATCCATCCATCCAACGCTGAGCCAGCTGCATTGGAAAAGTTTGAAAAGCTGCGCTCGGAAAAAAAACACGCTGCGCCTTGGAGAACAAAGGCAGGCTATGAAAGCCTTTGGATATTTCTCTTGCGAGCCTATGGGGCCATCAATGTTGATCTCAGGTGGAGTGCTCTTGATAATGGTACCTCGTTCAGCACTTGCTCAGCCTTCAAGCACTCAAATGCGTATTGTTATCATGGAGGGTGCCCAGTCCTTGTTTCAACCTGCTGCTATGGAGACCGCACATTCAGCATGCATGATTGGAATTAGTCCCTGTGAACAACATATTCTGTTGTCTGCCTCATCTAAGTCGCCCGCATTGAACATGAACCTGCCAGGGTGAACTAATAGTTAACCACCCCAATGA